TTTCCTGCCTATGCAGGGGGTCGGACTCAATGATCTATTGAGGTCCCTTCCGACCCTAGCATCTATGAATCTATGTCAGTCTTTTCCAGCTGACAAATGCTCATAGGGTAATTTTGAGAGTGAGGTCAGTTTCCTGCACCCTTGTCATCTCTTACCAGGATAAAGGTTGTAGATTCCCATTGAATACTCCTGGTTTGTCTTGACACTGAAGAGCTGCCCATGGAAATGGACTGAATGGATGTCCTCAGTGCTGCCCATATTCAGTAGATGCCATCGGACCCTTTGGTGTTGAGCCACTGCCAACCCAGGCAGTGTGTCCATCATGTAGCCATTGATAGCTAGAGGAAAAGACCACAGTTGCAACACAGTGGATAAGGGAGTGGTTAAAGTTTCTACTCAGCAGCAGCCACAATGGAGAGGGTTGGGATAATGGCATAGTTCACTCTTGGGACAGAAACAAGGTGATGGGAAAGACAGATGACTCTGAAGCCATTGAACTAAAGCTCAAACAGATACTGCTTTAAAAATCATCTAATGCAGCATTTCTGTTCTGGTACATGAGCCTCTTGGCAGACAGTGGGAGGAGCAGGAGTTCTTACCATGGAAGGAGTGGTTCCTTTTGAAAACAGGATCATCTGGTCGGACCTGGCAAGGGGGCTGGCAGTTCCTCTCCATGTTCTCGGTGAAGTACCAGCTTTTTGTCTCATCAAAGATGGTGAATAGCAGAGAGAATTCCTGCACGGTCAACTGCCGTCCAAAGGCAGAGCTCAGGACACCAGGGCGGCAGATAATCAGTGGCCCAATCAAGCCAGAGTGCAGATCCTTCTCCTGGGCAGGGATAAAAAACAAAATGTAATGTGAATGGAGAGCTTATCTCAGTCTTACCATGGATGCATTAGTAAAGGAACTTAAAACCAAACAGGAATCTCCACTATGCCATGATATAAGTCTATGGTGCTCTGTTGTCAGCAGTCCTGGTCACCAAATCTCAAAAAAGGAGATTGGGGAATAAGAAGAGGTACAGAGAGGGGCAACAAAGATGTTCAAGGATATGAAACCGCTTCTATGTGGGGGGAGACTGAAAAGGTGGGAAAGGAAATGACTGAAGGGGCATGATAGATAGCTAAGGAATCATGAACCATGTGAATAAAGTGAATTGTTATTCTCTCTGTCTTTTGTACAAGAACTAGGGGGCACCCTATGAAATTATCCAAAAGCAGGTTAAAAACAAAGAAAAGGAAATACTTCTTTATAAAAGGCATCATTCACTTATGAAACACATTACAAAAATATAACCAGGTTTATAAAAGCATTAGACAAATGTATGGAGGTTGGGCCCTGCCGGCTATTAAACACAACAGTCAGGGATGCGAAACACTGCATCTGATGAAGTAAGTTGTTGCCTGCAAAAGCACATGCCTCTCCAAACCAGTCAGTCTCTCAGGTGTCACTCTGCCCTACAGTCTTAACCCTATGATTGTTGGTGTCTGGAAGCATGTGACAAGAGATGGATCACTCTACAAATACCTTGCTTCTAACACTCTTCCTATAAGCTACTTCTTGACACTTTTCGAGACAAGCTATAAGGCTAGTTGGACCTTGGGCTTGACCTGGTATGGCAGTTCTTCTGTTTTTCACCCCCTGCTCCAACCCCAATACTGTGAGAACTGCTGTTAGTATTTATCAGTGTTAGGCAGGGTTTGTGCAATGTGTGCTTCACCCCAACCCTGCTCTCTCAGGACAAAAAGCTCCATCAATGTCAAAGAAATATCTTGTAGCTTTAGGGTTTGCCAGGCACAGAGTATGCCCACCAGCCCCCTGGGGCTGGCATGGAGGAGGGGGGCTAGAATTGTGGCTGAGGCAGCATAGGTTCCTCATGCCGAGGTTCTCCACCTACCAGGTTGGTGTTGGAAAAGTAGGCCCATGCCTTGCAGTCAAACTCATTGCGACTGGGTGCCATCTGGGAAGGCACCTTCCAAGAGTATTCCCGGAGCTCGCCAGGCTGCACTGCCTCCTTGTTGCGTGTCTTATCTTCCACTGAGCCCTCCGTGTAGGGCTGGAGGTTGGAATGGAGGGAGTAAGGCCGGGAAGCCAGGTTCTTGAACTTAACCTACATGATGGGAGGGAGCAGAAGAAAAGAGAGGCATGAAGTGCCTAGTGTGGGACAAAGGACATGAGCCCAAGGCAAGGGGCATGGGAGATGCCTCTCACTAAGGAGGCACTGGTTATTCTGCTCCCCTCACAGCCTCTGCCTGTACGCCAGACCCATCCTGCTGCTCTTCTTTAGGGAAAGTTCAGTGGGCCTGACCCTGATCTCAGCTGTGTGTGGGCATCTCCTGCTGGAGTCACTGGGAAAAGTACAGGCATCTCCACAGGCAGGATGCTTATTCTCTACGTGGTCAGATTTGAACCTGTTGTGCCATCCAGATGCAGGTCACCCCTTCCCACTGCCTTTTTTTTTGCTTCTATCAGGCCTTTGGCACCTTGCTCCTCTGCCATCCTGGCTCCAGCATGAGACACACAGGCAGAAGCCCACTGTGCCCCTGTTGAGCCCAGGGACCCCCATGGACCCGCAGCGCAGCCAGAGGTAGGTGAGGCCCACAGCGTGGGAGGGACCTAGTCAGCTGCGGGGGAGCTGAAAGGAGCCAAGGAGGGTCAGCACCCCCCCGCCCCAGCTCCTACTTTGCCCAGCCGCCCAGGGAGCCATGCGACCAGGACGCACAAACAGGCGCACTTCTAGGCCCTACACACAAGTTAGTGCAGGAGTTCGTGCAGGAGGGCGAGCAGGAGGGCCCCGAGACCCTGACAGTGAGCCCTGAGGGAAGGCTAGCACAGCAGTAGCCAGACTAGCACTGGTACAATGCAGATGGCCACACACTGCACCCTGAGGAGACCTCGCCCCCGGCACCTCTGAGCTCTCCACCCAGACGGAGCCCACGGTTTTGGGCTCTGCGCAGACCGAGCCTCCAGCTCTCGGCTGCGGGGGCTGCCTGGCATGACTCCAGGCACATGGGACTGGGAGCATGGCCACCGCCCCTTGCAAGGTCTGCTCCACTTTGGAGACTCTGAGGCATCAGACAGAGGAGCTCCAGACCGTAGTCCAGAGACTGCGTGCCATCAGGGATGGTGAGCAGGAGATTGACTCCTACTGCCAGGCCCCTTACCCCAAGAAGGCCAAGGGTCAACCAAGATCATCTTGCAGGACAAGGGAAGACTTGAAGATCTCCCACACTGTCCAGCCAGGGGTTTGGACCAAGGTGGTCAACGGCCCCAAGGCTCGCTGCACCAGGGTCCCCTCCCTTCTGGAGCTCTGCAACAGGTATGAACCTCTTGCAGCCCCAGTAGAGCCTGCTGAGCTGCCAGCTCCTGCAGGCAAGGGAGGACCACTCACAGCTACCGTCCCTGCTCTCCCTAAGACCACACGCAGAGTGGTCGTTGTGGGAGACTGCCTCCTGAGGGGGATTGGGGGTGCAATCTGCTGCCCCGCCCCCTTAGCCCAGGAGGTCTGCTGCCTGCCGGGGGCCTGCATCTGGGACATAGTGGAGAGGATCCCAAAGCTTATCCAGCCCTCCGACCATAAGCTCCTTATCCATGTAGGCATGAATGACATGGCTTGGAGCAATCCCAGCCAGGTCGTGAGTGGCTACAGGGCTCTGGTAGCGGAGCTCAGGAGCTTAGGGGTGCAGGTGGTTTTTTCCTTGATCCTCCCGGTTACGAGTCATGGGCTGAGGAGGGAGAGACAGATTGAGGTAGTCAACTAAAGACTGCGGCGCTGGTGTCATCGTGAAGGCTTTGGCTTCCACGATCACAGTTCAATCTTTGGTGAGAGAGGCAGTGGTCTGCTGGGAAGAGATGGCCTCTACCTCACTGCACTGGGGAAGAAGCTCTTCTCAGCCAGAATGGCTGACCTGCTTGACCGGGCTTTAAACTAAGCCTGCCAGGGGATGGGTGGACAACCGCCAAAGCAAGCCCACTAGGCAATCACTATAAAACCAGCAGGACAGGGCACCCAAGGGAATCCACTCCTACCCCAGCCCTGGAACGGTGTCCTCCTGGGAGTGCAAGGAAGCCTAGGGCTTCCAATGGGACGCTTACGTGTCAGTACACCAATGCCAGGAGCTTGGGAAACAAACAGGAGGCACTGGTCCTCCTGCTAAACAAGAATGACTATGATCTCATAGGGATAACAGAGACCTGTTGGGACTCCACCTATGACTGGGCCACAGGTATAGATGGCTATACCCTGTACAGGAGAGATCATGCAGAAAAAAGGGGTAGAGGTGTAATCCTCTATGTCAAGGAAAGCTACCCATCCCTGCAGGCTGACATTGGCACCTAGGGAGGACGACTAGAGACCCTCTGGGTTAAAATACATGGGGAATGTGGCACAGGGGGCATAATGGTAGGAGTCTACTACAGACCTCCAAACCAAGAACAAAAGCTCAACCAGGAATTTGCCAGGGAACTGGCTGAGGCTGCACACTCTCAGTGCATGGTTGTCACGAGAGACTTTAACCACCCCGACATCTCATGGGAAGAGCACTCGGCCAAATCCGAATGGTCACAAAGCTTCCTCATGTGCACAAGCTCTACCTCACTCAAGAAGTCTGTGGACTGACAAGAGGTAAAGCACTGCTGGACCTGGTACTGGCTAAAGGGGGTGATCTAGTCAGTGACCTAAGAATCGAAGGAAAACTGGGAGACTGTGACCATGAGCTGATCACTTTTATTATCCATCGCAAAGCTGGCAAGTCAGTCAGCAATGCAGAAGTCCTCAACTTCAGGAAAGCTGACTTTGATAAGCTCAAGAGGCTTGTTGTCAAGGCCCTAAGGGGCCATGACTCAACAGGGAGGGGAGTCCATCCCATCTCGGAAGAAAAGTAGCAAAAGAGCACAGCAGCCCCCTTGGCTCAGCAGGGAACTCGTGGACCTCCTACGCCTAAAGAGAGGCTTATAAAGGATGGAAGACAGGAATCACCAGAAAGGAGGAGTATTCTGTACTGGTCCATACCTGTAGGGAGTGAACCAGGAAAGCCAAGGCTACAACCGAACTCCAAATGACTACACACATCAAGGACAATAAAAAGTCCTTTTTCAGATATGTGGGGAGTTGGAAGAAAAGCAAGGGTAACATTGGACCCCTGCTAAACCAAATGGGACAACTGACAACCGGCACCCAGGAAAAAAACAACCTGCTTAATAGGGACTTCGTGTCAGTTTTTCATCAGCCCAAAGGGACCGCTCTGCCTAGCATGATGCAGGGTGAGGGTGAGTTTATACTCGTCATCAGTGTAGACCTTGTAAAGGAGCACCTTGAGAGGTTGAACACCTTCAACTCAGCTGGTCCTGACAGACTGCACCCCCGAGTACAGGGGCAATGCGTAGGGGGTACATGCAGGTGCATGTGCACCCCCTGAGTGTGGAAGTGCACCCCCTGCAGGCAGACTGCGAGCAGTCACCACTCACCACCCTGCTGCCCACACCGCCAGTGGCATCTGCAGGCAGTCCACAATTGACGGTGGTGGCTGCGGGTGGTTGCCGACCTGAGCCACCGGGGGCATGTGCCATTCATGCCTGAGTACTTAAGGACCTGGCAGGCATCATAGCCTAGCCACTAGCAAAGATATTTGAAAACTCGTGGCACTCAGGTGGAGTACCTGAAGATTGGAAGAAGGCCAATGTGGTGCCCATCTTCAAGAAAGGGAGGAAAGTAGATCCGGGGAACTACAGGCCAATCAGCTTGACCTCAATCTCTGGAAAGATTATAGAAAAAAATATCAGAGACCATTCTCGACAAGCTGGCTTGCATGCATAGATGCTTCTCAAGCAAATCTCAGGATGTCATTCTCCCGTTGTACTCGGCCTTGGTAACACCACAGCTGGAGTACTGCATCCAATTCTGGGCTCCACAATTCAAGAAGGATGTGGAGAAGCTTGAGAGAGTCCAAAGCTGAGCCACACGCATGATCAGAGGGCAGGAGAATAGGCCTTATGATGAGAGGCTGAGAGCCATGGGACTCTTCAGCCTGGAAAAGCATAGGCTCAGGGGTGACCTGGTGGCTGCCTACAAGTACATAAGGGGTATGCATCAGGATCTGGGGGAATGTCTGTTCACCAGAGTGCCCTAAGGGATGACAAAGGTCAATGGTCACAAACTCCTCCAAGGCCGTTTTACGCTGGACATAAGGAAAAACTTCTTTAGTGTCCGAGCCCCCAAGGCCTGGAATAGACTCCCTCCAGAGTTGGTGCAAGCACCTACTCTGGACTATTTTAAGAAACATTTGGACACTTATTTTGCTTGGATCCTTTGACCCTAGCTGACTTCTTGCCCCTGGGGCATGGGGCTGGATCCAATGATCTTCCGACGTCCCTTCGACCCCTAATGTCTATGAAATCTGTGAAATTTCAGGATGATGCTGCATCCCCCTCCTGGATATTAAGCTGCCCTCCAAAGTCTCCCTTTTCCTACATGCATGTAATGAACACAGGTCCATCCACACAGTACTGAGGACCATGCTTGAACTCACCTGGCAGTGGCCATTGGAAATGGGCCCCAGCCTGGCTCTCTGCTGCCCACAATGGCCAGCAAAATTCATATGGTCAAACTGTTCAATCTGAGGCTTTGTCTGTATGAGGCAGTTGTACCAGTTTGACCAAAAGTGTAAATACAAATTTACCAAATCACTGCAAACTCCTGTGTGGATGCTTTAATTTCAGTTTAGCTCAAGACCAATGAGACAAGTTTCAGGTAAACTGAAATAAGTCTCTCCAAAATAGGTATCATGGGGGTGCCTGCACTGGTTTATCAAGATTAATTTAAAAACACTTTAAGGGAAAGTGATGCCATTTCCCATACAGACAAAGAGTTCGCAACTCCCTACTTAACTTGACTCCAGTCCAGTGCGCACGGATCTTTAGTGACAGTGGGATTTGGGTGAGATTCTATCCGAAGACCATACACCTCTAAGGGGAGTCATACTGAGCCCCTGTCTCTTCCTTCCCCCTTTCAGCCCTCTGTTCCTCTTTGCAAGCTCATTACATCCGGGGCTGTGTGGATTTTCTAAAGACTGCTCTTTCTATCAGGACAACCTAACAAGTTAGACCCTGATCTGCTGGGGGACTCTGGGTGAGTCCCATCCTCTGCCTATGTTGCCCATTTCTCCAGCCAGTTTTCATTAAACTGTAAGCTCTTTGGAGCAGAAACCCTGTGCTGCTATGGGTATGTACAAGTGCAAGCACAACAAGGCCCAGAGCTCAGTGGGGGCCTTTGTGTACTATAAGCATACAAATAAAAATCCCAAGAATATTTGAATATTCTTGCCACTAACTGCTACTAAGCCCATATAAGTATCACCTCTGAAAAACTGATTCCAAATTGATTTACCACAATCCTGTCATCCTGTTCCGCCCTGATGTATGGCCCCAGGATTCCCAAGTGCTCATCCAGTTCTCCACGAGGCAGAGGCTGAGTGAAAGATTCGTCCAGATACTCTTGGAAAACAACCTTCCGGTACTGCTTAACAGCCTTCCTCCAGCGAGTCCTGGGACCCCTGCAAGGAAGAGGGAGGTCAGGCCAGTCCTGACATTGCACTGTGTGAAGACTTCAATCAAAGACACCAAGCAGAAGGCCTGGCTCAGAGACATCTGAGCATGGGTGTGTCTGCCCATGCATTAGATCCAGGAGCAATTTACTCATGAGTAAAATACTCACAAGTAAGTGCTCCCGGGCAGGCATCTACACATGTAGGGAAGTGGAAGCAGATTTGCAAACTGCTCTCTTCCTGGGGTCCTGCAATGGGTCCCTGCTGCCACCAGAGGGAGCTCTACGCTCCCCTGGGTGCTAGACCAGGGGGTGGTAGGGAGCACAGGACCAAGAGACAGCTGTGTCCTGGCCAGGGCTGGGACATTGCTCCCTGCTGCCAGGGTGAGAACAATGTTTCCCTGCCTCAGCAGCAGAGAGCTCCCAGTCCCAGCTCCCTGATTGGAGCAGGGGAATGGAAAGAGCTGCAGAGGAGGAGCAGGTCCCAGCCCCCTGTCCCAATCTGCCCTGGGGCAGCTAGCAGTGAGCCCCCAGCTGGGAGGGGATTCCCTGCCCAGCTGGGGCTCACTACTAGCTGCCCCACCAGTGGATTGAGGCAGGGGACTGGGACCTGCCCCATTCCCACAGCTCTTTCCAAGCCCTGCACCTCGATTGCCCAATCGGGGCACAGGGCTGGGACCTGCCTCTAACCAGGATAGTTCCCAGCTCCTGCTCTGCGACTGCGGGGCAGGAGCTGGAGAGCCTGTTTCCCATGCAGCTCTGTGATCATGGAGCTGGGTGGGGAACAGGCTGTGGTCCCTGGAAATAAGGATCCCCAAGCACCTGCCCTGCAGTCATGGAGCTTGCACTGGGAGATAAGGATCTCCTAGCCCCCTGCTCTCTGATCATAATGGCAAAGAAGGGGGTGGGAAATAAGGATCTCCTAGCCCCCACACCCCGATCGCAACCTCGGAGTGGGGAGCAGGGGGCTTGAAGCTGCCTGCTGCCAGGGCAGAGGGACATATTCCTCCCTTGTGCTCCAGTGGCAGAGCCCACCCCAGCAGGAGGCAGCTGCCAGGGGCAGAGAACAATCTTCTGCCCCCTGGTGGCTGGCTGACTGGGAGCAGATTTGCTCCCAGTCAGGCATCTACATGAGCGCTACTGCACAGTTAGTAATCGCAAGTAAATTTGTTACTTGTATTTGCAGATAGCAAATTTACTTGCAATTAGCAATTAGATGCACATTCTTACCGTGCAGTAAACTATGCTACTTTGCTGTAAAGCATCTTTTGTAGATGCACCGTATGTAATCTAATGCACAGGGCTGGCTCTCTACCCTGGCCTTCACTGCAGGTCCCATCCTTCCATTAACTCTTTTAATCCTTTAGATTTAGACAAACTACAGAAGTGGGCGGATGGTAATAGGATGGGGTTCAATGTAGATAAATGCAGGGTGCTGCACCTGGGGAGAAGGAATCCACAGCATACATACAAGCTGGGGAGCTCCCCTCTTGTGAGCACAGAGGCGGAAAGATGAACATGAGCCGCCAATGCCAGACCGCACCCAGCAAAGCCAACTGCACCTTGTCGTGCATCCAAAGATGCATCTCAAGCCAGTCCAGAGAGGTGATACTCTCTCTCTACGCAACACTGGCCAGGCCACAATTGGAGTACTGCATCCAGTTCTGGGCACCGCACTTTAAGAAGGATGTGGCCTGCCTTGAGAGGGTTCAGAGGAGGGCCACCCACTTGGCTGGGGGGCAACAGGGCAGGCCCTATGAGGAAAGGCTGAGGGACCTGAACCTGTTCAGCCTCAGCAAGCGGAGGCTGAGGAGGGATTTGGTAGCTGCCTACAAACTCATTAGGGGAGATCAGCAGCAAATAGGAAAGGCCCTATTCCCCTCAGCAGCACCTGGGCTGATGAGAAACAATGGCCAGAAGCTGCTGGAGAATAGGTTCAGGTTAGAGAGTAGGAGGCACTATTTCACTGTTAGGGTGGCTAGGATCTAGAACCAACTTCCTCAGGAAGTGTTCCTCGCTCCTACCTTGGGTAAATTCAAAGAGAAATTGGACAAACATCTGTCTGGGGTTGTGTGATCCCAGCGTGTGCTCCTGCCAGTGGCGGGGGGGTCAGACTAAATGATCTGTTCAGGTCCCTTCTGACTCCGAACTACTATGAAACTATGAACTATGAATGTGTGCCTCCACCAGGATCTTGCTATTAATGGGCTTTCCTTGTCTGACCAGACAATTTGCAGTCAGTCAAGGAGCACCAATGGGTTCTCACTGGGTTTTAAGCAGCAAAACATGAGGTGATTGTACAACTGAGAGATCTATAGGGACACAATAGCTGCTGGGACACTTTTGGTTTGTCCTCATTCTCAGACAAAGGGGATGAACATTTAAAAGGACTCTGGCCTTTACTAGCTTCTTAGTTTTTAATGTTCATAATCACTATTATGGAAAATTCCTGGTATGGCAGCATCCAAGCATATGGGAAGAGGATATGAATGAGGTTGCTGCATCTTATTCTCAAGCCTGCTAGGGTTACCATATTTCCAGGTCCAAAAAAGAGGACACCTGTAATGGGGG